TTTAAAAAAATACTAGAAACAAACAAACGAAAAGAAGAAAATTTACGTAAACATTTGTATTGGTTCACTCTAATTTCTAATATTTATCCCCCCTCTCTACTCCACTGGACGCTTGGCCAGATGCAGAATTAACATGCACTGAATCAACTTTCGTCTTGTTAAGACCTGTCTCATCTCCATGGTCAGTGACTGAATGTGTTTGGCGACAAGAAGAAAATACAAAAACATGTTATACTATTGCTTGCTTTTGGCATGCAGTTTTTACAGGCAGACACACTTCTTACTTTATTTGTACGTGAGACCACTCGCAATGTGCACACGACATACTAGCCCCTAGGAAATTTAGAGTGAATTTAGTCTAACTGTTGAATATTTGAAATAAGTTATTTACTATTTTAGTTGACGTCACATAAATCGAAAATTTRCGTTACAACGGTCTGAAAATCAGGGGACAAAACGAAGATGATAATGGACTTTAGCATATACCAACTTGTGTACTTCCTAAGAACGCGCGCTCTCATTGGCTAATTGGAGGTGAATATTGTACGATATTCACCGTATTCGCWTGACCGTTGGTTTGACGCGCATTTACTATTTTAGGTGACGTCAACTGAAAGTTATCTAAGTTAGATAAATGTATCTAACTATTCAATAGTGTGACTAAATGCACTCTAGCTAGCTTACTTAGCCAGGGCCCGGTTGTACGAAGCCTGGATAGCGCTATCCAACGGATAAATCCTATCCACTGGATAAATTTATTGGATAACAGCATCGACTTATCCACTGGATAAGGATTTATCCGCCGGATAGTGCTATTCACCCTTCTTACATGCCAACCGGGCCCAGGCCGCTACGTATCGGTTGAAATAACACAATATCAAAGCCATCAATTGTTTTTTTTTTTTTTTTCGTGTTTTCAGAATTTACATTCGCGGACAATCAAGCCATCCTTTGATCACGTCGTAAAAGAGCAAGCTTCATACTTTGTTCAAAAGCTCGAAAGAGAAAACTGGCAGACAGCCAAACGATCGAGAACTCGAAAACTGATGGCTAAGTACCAGATGAAGTGACTTTCCCTCCCCACCTTGTCAAGAATCTGGTATTATAAATGTTTTTGTTCGCTTTTTACTGAAAAGTGTGAGAAGCACTCGCCTACGGCTCGTCCTTCTCCTTACACTACTGAACGGAGCACGGAAAAAGCTGTTTWATCTGTTAAAAAGRACATCTTGTGGTGTGACTGAGTTCTTGTTGATGTATTATTGAAAATACTCCAGAAGTTTAAATTGTTTTTAGAAATGTAATTTGACTTTCTAGACATTTCTATAGTTTTCAACAGTCTTGAAGTGTTAGTTCATATAGATTTTTTATCTGCTTCTATGGATGTGTCTTGTGTCTCTCTAGAGAATCGCTTGCTTCCCCTCTCATTGGCAGTATAATGTTTTTAGAGTTTGTTTTTTTACTGCAGATAGGTTAGATTCATCGTTTTTCTTTTCTTCGATTCACTTCTATGCAATACAGGGAACACTGGTAAGCCAGGTCGGAAAAATGTGAASTTTGGTTTTCTTGTGACCGAAGCTTTTCCTGTAATTTGATATAAGAAAATATAGAAATTTAAATTATATAATCTAATCCCTTTTTCATAATCTTGCCATTATTTTATCTTATTGAAGCAAGGAAGGAAGGAAAGAAGGAAGGAAAGAAGGAAGGAAAGAAGGAAGGAAGGAAGGAAAGAAAGAAAGTTAGAAAAGGACATTGAAAATAGGGAAGAGAAGATGTAATGAAAAAACTGAACAAGTTTATTCAAAAAATATGCGATCAAAGTCACTCAAATATTATATCAAAAATTATAAAATATGATCCCTGATGTTTTTTCGAGTTGTCCATCACTAAGGATTCCTGAAAAAAATATCAGGGAGGATATCCAATAATATTTTGCAAAATTTTTGCAAATCGCTATATATATATATATCTTTATACTAAAAAGTCTCAATTAGGCCTTTGACCAGCTTCATGGGTCATTGACTCATAAACCATTCGGGCTGCAGGTCTAATAGTTAATTAGTACTCGCCAGCTATACTTACTACTATTTTATTTATGAGTGTTTCCACTGTTACTGAGTAAAACATTGGGGTGTTATAGTCTCCAAACGCCTGCAGAAGGCTAGTAGTTATATTTGTGACCTCGTGACTAAGATCTGTYGATAAAGTAAATTAAGAAATGGGTCAAAATGTAAGGAAAATCCTACTCAACTGTGAGGAAAACTAGAAGAATCAAAAGATATATTAGAAAAACAGTGAAATGAAATGAAGAAAAAGGAAGAAAGAAAGGAAGGATAAAAGAAAAAGATAAGGATAGAAAGGGAGGGAGGGAGGAAGAAAAAGATGAAGGAAGCAAGGAAGGGAGGGAGGGAAGGAGGGAGGGAGAAAGGAAGGAAGAAAAAGTTGAAGGAAACAAGGAATGAACAAAGGAAAGGAGGGAGGGAGGAGGGAAGAAAAAGATAAAGGAATGAAGGAAGGGAGGGAGAGAGGAAGAAAAAGATGAAGGAAGCCAGGAAGGAACGAAGGAAGAGAGGGAACAAGGGAGGGAGGGAGGGAGGGAGGAGGAAAAAGATGAAGGAAGCAAGGAAGGATTGAAGGAAGAGAGGGAGGGAAGAAAGGAGGAAGGGAGAGAGGAAGGAAGAAAATAAGCAAGGAAGTAAGGAATGAACAAAGGAAAGAAGGGAGGGAGGAAGGAAGGAGGGAAGAAAAAGATGAAGGAAGCAAGGAAGAAAGGAAGGAAGGAAGGAAGGAAGAAAAGGACATTGAAAATTGTAAAGAGAAGATGTAAAGAGAAAAACAGAACAAGTTTATTGAAAAAATATGGGATCAAATCAAAGTCACTATGATCCCTGATATTTGAGGGAGGTAGGAAGGAAGGAATAAAAAAAATAGGGAGGGAGGGAGTAAGGAAGGGTGGGAGGAGAGAGGAAGGAAGAAAAAAAGGAAGGAACTAAGGAATGAACAAAGGAAAGGAGGGAGGGAGGGAGGAAGAAAAAGATGAAGGAAGCAAGGAAGGAATGAAGGGAGGGAAGGAGGGAGGAAGAAAAAAAGGAAGGAAGGAACGAAGGAAAGGAGGGAGGGA